AGCCCACAGATATCAGCATTCCAGCAGCTAATAAAACAGTGACAGAGCAGGCCCCCTGCTCCATCAGGGCAAGGAGATAACAGGGAAGGGCAGCCACAGGAACATATGGACTCCTCAGCAATCACATCTGGCTGTTTCAGACTGGGCAGAACCATTAACTCCAGGCAGAGCACCAGCTCTTAAACCTTGGCCACCAGGTCTTGCTGACCTGGGGTCGTGGCCAGAATGCTGGGAAGATGCTCCCACTAAAATTATCAGTTTTATGTGGTAGCAAAGCTCTCAGACTGCCCTTGGACAGCAGCCACCTTAATTTCAGGTTTAAGGCAGCCAGAGGAATGCTCTGCCTGGTCTAAGGAATCAGTTCTTCCACCCAATTGCTCTATGAGTAGCTTGCTCAGTCATGCATGGCCACACTGCCCAAAACCTGTCTAAATAGGCAGTGATGACCAAGACTGAAACTACTCAAATCAGGAACTTTCCAGTCTGACAAGAAAAAAAACACAAGATTTCCGCTCCACACTTGTTTAGCACAGGCCAGGCCCTTCCTTGCTTTGTGTTTGGTGCTCCTGGTTCCTTCTAAAAGCCACTGTGAAGGGACACAACCCTCAGGGGAGCAGCAGGTTCAGTGTAAAGCTGCACCTTGCAGCTGAAACCTTCCCACGACTCGAGGCTGCCAAAAGGGGGAGACTGAATTCTCCACCCACATGCCTTGTCTGTCTCCTTTCCCTGTCCCCAGCCACCCTTAGAGTGTTCACCAGGGTCTCTGCAGGCAGAGACCGGCAGAAAACAGCATTTTTGGCCAGTTTCTAGGGCTGGCTTGGCCAATGGATGGATCTAAAAGCTCCAGAGTCATGAGACACATGGAGGAGCTCAGCCAGCCACTCCTCAGCCAGCAACTCAAGGCAAAGGGTGAACTGCCAGGATTTGGTTGAGATGCCAGGAATCCTGGGAGCAGTGAGGATGTTCAGTGAGGCTCAAAAGGGTTCTCTTACAAAGCATTTCTGCAGTCAGGAGGTGCAGGTTGAGCAACAGGCTGACATCAGCTAAAACAACAGCCTGAGGGAGGGAGAAGCTCCAAGGCGAAACCACGTGGGCATTTCTTAGGTCACCAAGAAAAACAAGAGTTTCTGATTGGGAAGAAAAAGAAGCCAGAATTGCAGCATTGTTACTTAATCCAGGAAATTTTGTTTAGCAGAGACCAGCAGGCTCAGCGTGACCACATGAAAAAGCTTTTTCTTGGAATTCCTAGGCGCCTGCATCCCTGCCTCAGCCAGGTTCAACTAACAGTGGGGAGTGCCTGAAAAAGGCAATTCCAACCTTTTTCCCTGCCTGTATTTACTCTCATGTACTCTGGAGTCACCAGGCTCTACACCCCCCCCCCCCCCCCGTAAACTTCAAAAGGAACATGGATGACTGTCTGTGTCAGCCTAGGAAAGATCCACTTCCAAAGTTTTCTACTGGAAGCCCTTGTCCTTTGCATCACCAGATTAGTCCTCCTTGCAAGGCTGCGACATCACAAAATTCATCAGGTGGGAATGGGAGGGTTCAATACTTTCTTGCTTTATTCCAGAGGCCAGAAAAGCAGCTCAATCCACAGAAAAGAGTACTTCCCAAACTACTTCAACCTAAACTGCCCCACAGTCACACCACAGCCACAGAGAGACCTGTAATAACAAGGATGACAAGCTGGGAAGCAGCTGGGAATTGCAGAGACTGGAAAAAAAAAAGAGGAAGGGGACTGAGAATCTGTGTTTCCACAGCCACATCCAGCATAAGAACCACCGGTGCATGGAGAGGCTGAGGAATGGGAAGAGAAAGTGACACCACCGTTACTTTAAATCAACTGGAAACTTTCTCTTCTTGTTCCAGGGCCTTAAGAAGTGGCTTTTTCCAGAAGTAATTGGGAGGAGACAGTTCTACCCCTTTCCCCCTATCACCCTCAGCCATAGCCAGCCCCATCTCTCTGTTTCAGTGAGTTTCTGCTTTCCTGTCAGGTGGGAGGATCAGGACTGAGCAACAGCACCTAAGAAAGCAAACAAACCCTGAGAGTTGGATTGGGAATTGGGAAGTGGGGGAAGAATCTCTTCCTGACCAGCACATGACTTTTACTCATCTTCCTTACTGAGAGTGAGATAACAATTCATTATCAGGCAATGTGCTTTGCCTGATATCTACAATAACCAAATTAACAAAGTCACGATTCATTTGCCAAGGACAAGTTTTAAAACCCACTTTTTTTTCTCCTCTTTGAAAACCTGTGTTATACTAGAAATCAAGAGACAAAGCAATGTTAATTAGCTTTAATTTCAGCTCTAATTTCAGTCCAGTTGCCTTGTGAAGGATGCTGACCTTTACAGCTCCCTCTAGGAGGATTCCTGAAACTTTGTTAACATTCCCATCTTCTTCCAGCACCAGGATTACAGTCAAGAATTAGAACACTGGGAAGCTGGTCACAACTCCCAGCACTCTTCCTCCCATTCCAACCTCGAACGCAGAAGCTTAATAGAATTTTGGGGACGGTGGAAGGACAACAAAGCTGGCAGTGGTGCCTCCCAGTGCCATTCCGTGGGCACAGCTCACACACCAGCCCGATCCTGTCATGGGAAAACTCCTTTTCCTAGAAGTCCTTCCCACTCTGTCGGTCTTCACACACATCTGCTCTGCTTCCTGAGGCTGTGTCACAACCCACTGGAATCCTCTCTCCCGTGGCAGAACCGATCCGAGCAGCACTTCCACACCGTGGAGGTGCGGGTTTGTCCCGGTTTGTCCCGGTTTGTCCCGGTTTGTCCCGGCCCGCCGCCGAGCCGCCACGCGGGGCGCCCCGCTGCGCTTGCACACGCAGCGGCAGGGGTGCTGACGCGGTGGAGGCGCGCTCCGCCGCCCGGCACGCTGGGAGTTGTAGTCCTTGCGGGCGCGGCGGGAGCGCGGCAGCCGTACCCCCGCCATCGCCGCTCCCGGGGCCCGGCGGGGCCCCTCCGCCGGTCTCCGGGGCGGTTCCCGCACTGTTCTCGCGTCATGGACACTTGAGGATCTGCAGAATGTTCTATGCCATCCCCCAGCGCTGCCGGGATGCAGCGCTGTGGGGATCGGGCAGCGCTGTGGGGATCGGGCATCGCCGTCGCGCTGCGATGACATCACTGGTGCTGACACCGCCTCAGGCAGCGCGGTCAGACTATTCCCGGTTTTTTTTCTCTGCGCAATGACAATCATTTTCCGGTGTAATTATAATAATTTCCCTGCTGTTACGTGGCCTCCTGGCTCTGTGAGCCACTCACAGCTCCAACTCTGCCACTGACTGTACTCGTAACTCCCTGCTGGGACACGGCACTTAGGACACATGGTTAGTGCTGGATTAACGTTTGGGCTCGATTTCAGAGGTCTTTCCCATTCTTAATAGTTCCACTGTCTGACAGCTCTTCCCACAGCACGGTTTCTCAGCAGCCCGAGCCACAGTTATGCAGTTGGGCCATCCCACAGTTGGACCTTGGACACTCGGCCCAGGGAGCTGAAAGCTGGGAACAACATGACAGGGGAGGGTTACAGAGATGTTTTCAATCCATAAGAGGAAGGTTTTGCTTCCTCTGAGGTTGTTAGCCTGCGAAATTACCATTTTCACTGTTCGTAAGACGAAGTCCTGATTATCATTGAATCCCAGAATCCCAGAATGGTTTGGATTGGAAGGGACCTTAAAGATCATAGAATTCCACTCCCCTGCCATGGGCAGGGACACCTTCCACCAGACCAGGTTGCTCCAAGCCCTGTCCAACCTGGCCTTGAACACTTCCAGGGATGGGGCAGCCACAGTTTTTCTGGAAAACTTATGCCAGGGCCTCACCACTCTCACGGGGAAGAATTCCTTCCAAATATCCCATCTAACACTGCCTCTGTCAGTGGGGAGCATTCTGTGGGCTTGGAAAGGATGGGATTAGGAAACCTGTTGTTTAACTGCAGGTTAGAGTGACAAGGAGCAGTCAAGGGCAACTAGAAGGGCTTCTACAGACATCAGCAAGTGGAAAATCCACCAAAAAAGGGTCCAGTGCTGAAATGTCAGGAATTCTGTGCAGACAAAGCAGAAGTACCACACCCATGTTGTACCAGGATACAATTAATACTTGTTTATACTGAATCCAGACACAGGTGTGCTACAAAAGTCTGTCTTGATATCAGTGCGTGTGTTTTGTAACAGTGCCAGGCCCATAACCACCAACAAGCATTTCACAACACAATTAGGCAGAAATAAAAACCTAATTATGCTGTGGGAAGGGAAACAAGGGCTTGTGGTCTGCAGGCAGAAAGAGATGATGGAAAAATACATACAAGTAGTAAAACTGTCAGGAACACAGGAGGAGAGCAAGCATGAAAAATGTCTGGGGGGAGCAGAACACGCAGGGAGGTGCCTAGTGAAACCTGAACAAGTCCAGCCACAAAAATATGGTAACACAAATAAATAAATAAATAGATAAATAAATAAATAAATGACTCCTTTCTCTGTAGCGGGTACGGCAGAACTGGCTGTCAAATATGAGAAGTGTTTTCCCTGTACAAAAGCTTTTAGCTTTCCAAATCTAATACAGAGAATCACACCCATATGTAATAATTGTTTTAACTGGACTTTTCTTTCAAACATCTTGGTGAAGAGTTGTCTTGGTAATTGTAATCTGCAAAAATATAACTTTCTTCTGCATTCGGGATAGACTCGTTATGGACAGTGAGGAGAAAGAGATCATGGAATACTGGGATTGTTTGGGTTGGAAGGGTCCTTAAAGACCATGTAGTTCCAGGGTTGTCACTCACTGGATCCTTCTGGGATGGGATCCACCTGACCTGAGCTTCTGTTTGATAAGGTGATTCACCTTCTCAGTTGACTGCTTTTTCCCATTGATTACCAAATGGACCTGGGAAGCAAACCTCCATGCAGATATTCCTAACGACTCACCTACATTTAGCCCAATGGTTCCCATCACTGGTGCTTTTATTGTGTTTTGGACCAGAAACACACTCTAAGAAAATCCCTGAGAAAAGACCCTCCTCTCCACTGTCCTCCTCAGGGCATCCTTCACTTCTTTGTTCCTCAGGCTGTAAATCAGGGGGTTCAGCATGGGAAAGACAAGAGTGTAAAATGCAGACACTACTTTGTCTGTGTCCCAGGAGGAGTGGTTGGAGCTGGTCTTTAAATAGGTGAAGAGGAGGGAGCCATAGAACAACGCGATGGCCATCAGGTGGGAGCTGCAGGTGTAGAAGGTTTTGTACCTGCTCTCAGCCACCTGGATGCGGGATATGGTGCTGAGGATGCAGATGTGGGACACAGCAATGCTCAGGAAGGTGCTGGTCTGGATGAAGCCACACAGGGTGACGAGCAGGACCTCACTGAGGCGTGTGTCAGAGCGGGAGATCTTCAGCAGCAGCGGGATGTCGCAGAAGTGGTTGATCCATCTGGAGCCGCAGAATGGCAGCGAGAATGCGAGGCAGGTGTGGACCAGCGAGGTCAGACCCCTGCTGAGGAACGCCCCAGCCACCATGGAGGTGCAGATCCTGTGGGACATGGCCTCAGAGTAGAGGAGAGGCTGACAAACGGCCACATAGCTGTCATAGGCCATGACGGCCAAAACGAGTCACTCAGTGGAAGCGGCAAAGAGGAACATCTGCATCCCACAGCCAAGGAAAGAAATGGCTTTATGCCGGGCCAAGAGGTTCACCAGCATCTTGGGAGTGATGGCAGAGGAACAACTGAGTCTAGGAAGGATAAATCGCTCAGGAAATAATACATGTGGGTGTGAAGGCAGGCACTGAGCCGGACGAGTGCCATGAGGCCGACGTTCCCCACCGAAGTGGTGCCGTAGATGAGCAGGAAGAGCACAAACAAAGGAATCTCCATCTCAGACCAGTCTGTGAAACCCAGGAGAATGAACTCAGTCAGGGCAGTGCAGTTTCCTTCAGGCATTTCATTCCCTTGTGTTTGGCTTTGTGCACAAAAGATTTGTCAGGGGCTGACTTAGTCCTGGTGGATGTCGAGGCACAAATGCATCACATCCTGCACAGGAAAAAGTGGTGGAAATTCAGGCACCTTGCCCAAGTCAGAGGGGAAACCAGTGGTTTGGATGATGCCCATTGAAAGGAAAGCTTAGGAGGACAAAGAGAGCTTTAGAGACACATTTTAAATGTGGAATTCCTTCCTGTATATTCCTTTAGTATCTGTGAAATAGGAGCTCGGGTGGGATTTTGTAAGATCTAGGCCATAGTGTATAAAAACCATCCATATAAACCCACACCAGAGGTATTGGAAAGACTCTGTGTCCTTTCTTGGTGAAGGCTTGGTACACCCAAAAATCTGAATTATTTTCTGCAAGTGACTGTTTACTCCAGAAAATGTCTGGGTTGAGTCAGGTAAGCACAATATCACTTGAGAAAAAATATCTTATTGAAGTATAAAAGCTGCTACACATTTCCCTGTGTTTCAAGTAGAGGAAGCAGTTCAGGCACAGTTAATAATGACTTTTCTTAGGCAGCAAGAAAATGAAATACTGGAAAAGTTGATTGAAATGCTGAAACAAAAGCAGATTTATTTTTTTTTAGAAAAAAAAAAGAAATAATAAGTTTGGAACAAACAGGAAACGTTGAGTTTAAAGTGAAATATCGCATGTCATTCTAGGATTCCCTACAAATATATTGTGGGTTTATTTTCCCGAGGCTGATTAATTCTTAAGCAGTTAATGAAAAGCAAGTCATGAAGATTGTTTTTAAATATTCAAACTTAAATATTTTTAGGATTTCCAAGCAGTTTTCCCCACCTTTTGTTTTTTTTACCTGAAATTATTAATTGAATTTGAATTGGGCTCAGTCTGCTAGAAAATGAATTCTGGGTATTAATTTAACATTTCAAAAAAAACCCATCATTTTAATTTTGAGAAAGTTAATACACATTTCTGCTGATGCCAGTATGAATTCTACACAGGGCAGATAAATCTTGCTCACCTTTACAGGAAAAATAAGGATTACAGAAGGACATCTAATAAAAGAACTGTTAATGCAGTTAAATAATTCTGTAAATATCAATGTTATGTGGGCAAAGCCACAGACAAACCAGAAATGTCTATGTTGCCAAAATAAAATAATTATAATTTAAGAAGCTTCCTCCAGGAGAGGATGCTAAATGGTTCCAGAAAGGAGGATTTTAGGTTCCAAAGGTGTTTGCAGACACTTGCAGACACAACAAATCTCACCTGCATTTTGCTTTGTAAAGGTTGGTGTGAGGAAGTCTGGATGACCAATATAAATTCCAGAATTTTGGATGATTACCCCTAAGTCAGGTGAATCCCATTTTTGGCAGCTTTGATCTTGTTTTTCAAGCCTTGGAGAAGGCTTAGTGCATCCTAAAATCTCAATGATTTTCTAGAAATGACCATTTACTCCCTAAAATATCTGGAGTGACTCAGGTCAGGACACAGGTCCCTCAGTTGATTCCTAGAATAAGGTGACAAGTTCCACAAACATTCAATTGAGGTTTACTTTTAGCCAAAAGATCCTGTTACATTACCATTGATTTTGACACCACCACAGGCAATTTGAGAGATTCCTGGTGAAAGGCCAAAAATAGAAGATTTCAACCCCCCCAAATATGCCTTGGTTATGTACACGTGGCTGTTTCTCCTTATTGTCACCTCTTGATCATGCTCTGAAATGAACTCACAGAAGCACGAGCAGCTGCCAAAAAGTCAGTGGTCTCTGATGAAGACCTGCAAGAAATTTCAGTCCCCAGATAAAAATTTAGACAAAAAAATAATAATTTAAGAAAACCACAAAAATTTCCCCCTTTTTAAACATATATTAGTATTTATTCTTTATTTTGTTGCACGGTGATGCAGCAGCCTTTTCCTTTGGTGGATCCAAAATTCACACAGTCAACAAGACTAAGACACAACTTCTTGAATGGAAGGAAATTTTACTCATCTAGAGACTCACCTGCTAAAGAAATATTTGAGGTTTTTTTCCTGGATGCAGGAAATGCTTCTTTTGGGGGATGTCAGAGGTTTTATATCTTCCTTTTGGACACAGGAGACCACGAGGGAAGAGAAGAACAACCAATTAAAGTGCTCCTGGTGTTTTCTCAGCGTGGAAGTATCTCAATGACATTATGTGCTCTAAAGATCATGACTAGAGACCCATAAAGTGTGGTTTTTAAAGCATCAAAACATTGCTAAAAGTGAGGATGGACGTTGAAGAAAATTGGATTCTCAACCCATGATCTGGAGTCATGGATACAAGGCCACTGCTATCTTGAAGCAAAGACTTTTAAAATGTCCTTAGAAATTGAAAAAAGAAAATTAAATTTAAAATTGAAAAATTTTAAATGCACCTCCAAGTGAGAATTTAGAAAATGGAATTCCAGCAGTCATTAGAACTTTTGGCGATGTGATTATGGTCCTATCAAATTAAAGGTGCTGGTTCTAGTCCGATATAATACAGAAATTATACACAGATTTGAAGCAGTTTAACTTGTTACTTTGCTACTTATATTAAGCAGGCAGTTGATCTCTTCCCTTCATATAAATTTAGTTGATAAAATAGGAGATAATCCTGGTTCTTTCATAGGAGAGTTGATATTAATTGACTGTGACTTGACCTTCTAGTGGGAGAGTTGGAACTAGATGGTCTTTAAAATCCCTTCCAACCCCAACCATTCCATAAATATTAAATATATATATATTATTCTCCAACTAAGAAGCTTTATTTGCATTTTTTTGCCTTTTCCTTCCTTCCACCTAGTTCATGTGCACAGTGGAGGGCACATAAATGTTCATATCACATACTTGAGGACTTACATGTGGGAGAAAGCAAAATACCATGGGAGAACTGATGTTTATTTCTCCCATTTCAACCAAGTGTCTATGGAGAGATGGGAAAGCTGCACAGAGGTTTCCAGTGGCCAGTGATAGGTGTGTTTGGACCTTCCCAAGCTCTGGGCAGAGGCTAAACTATGACACCTAAGAGAGATGTGATGGATGCTCTGGTTTGAGGGAAAGGCCATCCAGGAGAAGAGGGGAAAACTACCATGTTTGGATGATTATTTATATCTCTGCTCTTTCCTTTGATATTCTTAGTATGGGTTTCATCACGCAAAGAATTAAAAGTTACTTGTCTAAGCTTAAATTCCTGACATGTAGAGAAATAATCCCTCAGATTCTAGAAGGATCCGGAGCACAAACATCTCTGTGTAGGCTCATGGGGACATTGCTTCTCTGAGTTCTGGAGAGGACTGTGTGTCTTTTCTGACCCAGTTATGATTTCAGGGAGCAGGCACATGCCTGTATTAATCACTTCTCTAGTATTAATCAAGAATCTCAGATGACTGTAGAGTGTTAATTAATTAAAATACTTCTTAATGATCCAATAGGGAAGACTGTCAGGGATGTAAAATATCTTTAGATGAAATAAGGAGAATATGCACTGGAATTAACTTGCACTTTGGTGTTCATAGAATGAGAGAATCCTAGAGTGGTTCAGAAGGGACCTGAGGGACCATAATTTTCCAACTCCCCTGCCGTGGGCAGGGACACCTCCCACTATCCCAGGTTGGTCTGAGCCTCGTCCAACCCAGTCTTGGACACTTCCAGGGATGGGGCAGCCACAGCTTCTCTGGGCAACCTGTGCCAGGGCCTCACCACCCTCACAGGGAAGGATTTCTTCCCAATATCTGATCTAAACCCTTCCTCTTTCAGTTGAAAGTCGCTTAAAGCCGAGTACTTAAAGGGGAACTACAAAGAGGACCAAGTCTCTCTCTGCACAAGGTGCCTTGATTCTCTGATTCTGTCTTTTGTATACAGAATTAAAAAATATCAGGGGAAGGGAAGACAAAATGGCACTGAAACACTGAGTGTAACTTTTTTTGATTCCCAGAATTTTGGAAATTTTAAAGCCAGAACTAGAGCCCAACCTGAATTCCACAAGTGGACAGTATTTTTAGAGAAAAGTAAATAATTTACAACCTCTTTCATTTTTTTCCCTTTTTTTTTTTCTGTGGATGTTAAACCACCTATTTTAGTCTAAGTCTTGGTCTGTCTGAAATGAAAATAATAAACAGTGTTATGGAGAGTGGAAGCTAAAAGTGAAACTAAATAATAGATGGATCCTGAAAATTGAGCCGAGTTAGACTCAAAATGGCTCCAATATCTTCTTTAGCATTTTAACCTGAAGAACAACAGCATGGTGATATTTCAGGTGAAAATGGGGATCAAGATAACAGTCAGAATGGGATGGTCAGATATTCCTACTGTTTGGTACCATCTCAGACCAGGAGCCTTCAACCACCTCCCAGGAGCATGAATTAATTAATTAGCCTTGAATGATGCCCAGAACTGAGTTTGGACGTGGTGGGCTGTGTGCTGGGGAAGTCTGCATCTCCTGAAAAATCTCTTTGGGACAGTGTAAGGTGACCCCTTGGATAGATGAAGCTTTTAGTGGGCAAATACAAGGAGAAATGGAAAAATGATCAGCACAGAGTGAGAGAGGAAAAGGGAAGTTTGTCCAGAGCCAGACACCAGCCTTGTCCTGGACCAACCCTGACTCCCACCACACCTAAAGGAGTGTTTAGTTTTCAAAAACTAAATTCTTCCCATGAGTCAAAGACAGGGCAGAGAAGGCAAAACTAAAATATCAAGAAGAGGCCTCCTCCAGCAGCAGGTGGAGGCAAAAGTCATAGCATGAGCCACGGGAAGCCTCAGCAGACCCAAACTCCAACAGCAGCTCAGTCATTACATCTATTTCCATCCCAAATTACCCTCCCCAAAAGAAGGCCCTCCCCTGGGAGCAGCCACCCAAGGGTCTTCAGCTTAACAAGCCCTTCTGGGCAACCTGAAGAAGCCTCTAAAGATCTTGAAACCCTCTAAGGAAGCTCATGGCAGACCTACTTCATCCTTCTAACAAGCCCCTGGGGACAAGTTCACA